GCAATTAGAAAACCAGATGATTAAGACTTCAGAAGTAGATAGTATGCTAAAGATTAAGACTTCGGAAGTTTAGATAAGCTGAAAGTGCAAAGAAATAGAATTGATTGAACCAATGGAAAGTTGAATTACTAAGTTTCAAAAAAACTCTCAATATTCATCAGCTAGAGGAACACTCAGAAACAAAGAACAAAAAAGAAAATCCAAAGAAAGCCTAAGATTTATGTGGGACATAATTCCCATACAAAAAGCACTGGACTGCAAAACATAAAATCAATGGTTTGAGCCCATCAGCTGCTCCCAGGGAGAAATATGAAGTTTTCTGCTCCCCCAAACATTTACAGCCTCAGAAATCCTGTAGAGGGTCATTATAAGTTGGAACTGAATTGATGGCACTTAACAACAACAATCAAGAGTAATAACTTACGTGTGTTAGGAATTCCAGAAAAGTAAAAGCCAAAAAAAAGAAAAAAACTATTGTCGAATAATTGTTGGAAGAAAACTTCCCTAAGATCATGAGAAATGAAAAGACATTCAAGAAGTTGAGCAAACTCCAAACAGGTTAGACCTCAAAAGAAAAACACCAAGAAAAAACATAAACTTTTCAAAACCAAAGACAAGGAAAGAATCCTGAGAGCAGCTCAGGAAAAATGAAAAATTACCTACAAAGGAGAACTAATCAGACTAAGCTTTGATCTCGCAGCAGAAACCATGCAGGTAAGAAGACAATGGAATGACATACATAAAACTATGTAAGAAACAAATTGCCAATCAAGAACCATATGTCCAGCAAAACTGTTCATCAAATATGATGGCAAAATCAGGTTATTTTCAGACAAACAGAAATTGAAAGAATTTGTAAAAGCCAGACCAACCTTACTCCCCTGCCAACAACAGCACACAACAATCTGAGACTAACATACATGACAATATCACCTAGACTCAGCCCAGATACAGAAGTATGCAAAGTAAAACATACCTATAAAACTGAAAATGGAGAACCAGAAATATAGTTGCAATGACAATAAAAAACACCATAAAGTAATAAAAGGAAATAATGTAGTTATAGAACTTCCAAATAAAGAAATTAAATAGATTTCAAGAAAATTAAAATTTCTTAAAACTAGACCAAGCCTTACTCCTAGCCCTGCTGTTGTTAAGTGCTGTTGAGTCGGTTCCGACTTACAGTGACCCTGCATAGGGTTTCCAAGGTGCAGTTGGTGGGTTTGAACCACTGACCTTGTGGTTAGCAGTCCAGTGCTTACCCTACAGTGCCAGGCCAGGACTCCTAATCCTACCTTCCCAAGAAAATAGACATTCTAAATGATCTCATGCATATTGTAAAACATACACAAAAGCAGAACTAAAAAAAACTTTTAACTTTTTACAATGGTCTTATACAATTTTATCCTTTTTAAAAAATTTTTTATTGTGAACTGAGTAAAGGTTTACAGAACAGATCATCAATCCCACAGTCCCACGCATCTCATGTCATTACTGTGAGTGCCTTCTCCATGTACCAGCAGATACTAGTACCATCAGTTATAGGTATTTACCTCTATTCACTTTAACTTTTACACTCCTCCTTGTGTCTTCTGCTACCTTCATCTTTCTACTGCCAACCTCTCTTGTGTATTGTCATCCCTGTCACCTAAGCTAACCTCTATCTAGTGAATAATTTTTCCTTCCTTTCCACTCCTGGTCACCATCATATAATGTCTTTTAGCAAGAAAACCTTGTCTTACCTTGTTACAACAGTGGTTTCCTACAATTATTTGTCCTTTGTGATTGACTAATTTTACTCAGCAGTCTTCCAAGATATCAGAGACAATTTTGCTAAATATTTTGCTATAGAATCATCTAACATAGTATATTTGTTTAAATGTAACCCCGTGCTTGACTGTTATAATCCAATGTCATATATTTTAGATAGCTAACCTAAAGATTTTTGGTTCAGGATACTACACTGCACCTCAGGGTTGGTTTGAATTGTAAGATTGGCAGTTCAAACTCACCAGCCACTCCCCAGAAACCCTATTACAGGGTCACTATGAGTCAGAACCTACTTGAAAACACGTAACAACAACAACCTAAAGATTGGTGACTCGAACCCACCCAATGATACTATGGAAGAAAAGTCATGTCAATCTGCTTCCTCTATTATTACAGCCAAAAAATAAACAATAACCCAGTGGAGCAGTTCCACTCTGTAACACGTGGGTTGCCATGAGTTGGCATTGACTTGAGGGCAAACAACAATAGCTGCTGTAAACCTCCAGAACTTAGTCATTTATGTAATAAAACATTTTTTGTTTGCATCAGAGTTCAATATGAGTTAGTAGTCACTGGAGGGGAGATCTTCTCTGCACAATCATGCAGGGACCCAGGCTCCTTTTATCTTCAGGTCAATCATCTGCTAGTTTCTCAGAGTCTCCTCCATTCTGTTTACAGATAGGAAAAAGAGCAGGGACCCACACCTGAGAGTTTTATGAGCCAGCCTGGAAGCAGCAGCAATACTGCTATTCACATTCCATTAGCCAGAATTCTGTTACGTGGCCACACCTGTCTGTAAGGGAGGCTAGGAACTGTAGGTATTGGTGAGACTGAGTAACCTATGCCACACTAAGTGGACTGTTAAGAGCTCTGATAGTGTAGTGGTTATGAATCGGGCTGCGAACCTTAAGATCAGCAGTTCGAAACTACCAGCTGTTCCGTGGGAGAAAGATAAGGCTTTCTGCTCCTGTAAAGATATACAGCCTCGGAAACCCTGTACAGACAGGGTCGCTATGAGTCAGAACTGACTCCACGGCACATAACAACAAGTGGACTGTTAAGGAGCTCTGGTAGTGTAGTAGTTATGTATCAGGCTGCTAACCTCAAGGTCCGCAGTTCGAAACTACCAGCTGTTCCCTGGGGGAAAGATGAGGCTTTCTGCTCCCATAAAGATTTACAGCTTCGGAAACCCAGAACTGACTCCACGGCACATAACCATCACCAATTGGACTGCTGGTGACATTTAAGATAGAGGTTTTAGGGAAGTGGTGACAGAAACTAAACTGTAAAAAGTTAAGCAGTGGATGTTGACGTTGTGTGCTGTTGAATCAATTCCGAGTCATAGTGATCCTACTGCCCCATAGGGTTTCCTAGACTGAAACCTTTGTGAGAAGAGATTGTCAGGTCATTTCTCCCACAAAGCTGCTGGTGGGTTTAAATCATCAACCTTTTAGTTAGCAGCTCAGTGCTCTATCACCAGAACTTAAGAAAGGAATAGTTGTAGTGTCACCGAGTTGGTGCCTACCCACAGCGACCCTGTATAGGGTTTCCGACGACTGACTGATGACTTACTTGAACCACTGACCTTGCAGTTCAAACTGACTTTACAGTCCAGCGCATTAACCCACAGCACTACCCCAGGACTCTAGGTCTGAATAGATGACAAGAAAGTGATTTTACCTAATGAAAGAACAAAAGATAAACCTGAAACTAAAGTGAGGAGGTAACTAGCCGTGGAAAACTGTTTTTGTTACTTTCTTTAAAATGTTGTTTTGTAACTGATAGAGAATTAAGCATATGTTTGCAATCTCAATGAGCAGGAAGAGAGTTAGGGCACGAGTGGAAGGTTGGCCATGGTCAGAAGGAGGCTTACATCTTTGAGATGAAAGCCATGAATAAATGCAGAGAAATTAATGAGGTACAGGTGGGAGGGGGGACCTGAAAATAAAGTAGGATGCTTTGATCTTGGTAAAGTGACAAGGGGCAAGAAAAGGTTTAGTGTTGCAAGAGGACACAATTAAAGTGGGACATCAAAGTGTAGTTTTATGACTTCGTTTCATAGCCAAGGAACAAGGGCAGGAAACATAATGTAGTCCGCACCAAGGTGGGGTTCACTGAATCCAGAGTTTGGGGCACCAAGAGAATAGCTGAGCAGCCTTTGGCATGTGTACTGATTAGTGGCCCTTGAAATCACTGTTGGTGGCTTTTTACCCATTCCATTATGTATTTTTACTTCTGTTCATACTCACCCTTATCTTAGTCTACAGCTTGTGAGAAGTAAACAGCCACTTTGGAGAAGCTAACATGGCAAGGAGCTGCTGGTGGCCTCTAGAACCTGAGGGAAGCCTCCAATCGATTCTTAGCAAAACTTAAGCCCTCAGCTATACAGTCCAAGGAAACAAATTCTGCTAGCAACCTGAATGAGCCTGCCGTTGGAGTCTGCTGCAGTTGTGTTGCCAGATGAGAATGCAGCTTAGCTGACACCTTGATTACAGTCTTGTGACACTGAGCAAAGAACACAGCTAAGCTGTGCCTGTGTTCCGGATGTGTTGTTTTAAGTTTATACTATTGTGGTAACTTGTTCCGCAGCAATGGAAAACCCAGAATTCCTGAAAACATTGGGTATGACATGTTTTCATACGCCTTATATTAGGTGATACTTAGGATACTCTGGGCCTGAATGAAATTCCAGAACTGGGCACAGAGCTGGGTGAGGGAACACAGGTTGTACCCTACATGTCCACCGAGTACTTTGAATCTCAAGACAATAGTTAAAAGGCCCTTGGCATTCAAAGCAGATTGGGCCTACCCATTCACCTGCCCTCCAACACATTTGTCCAGTCAGTCCTCAGAGATGAAGAAAGGCTGGCCCTGGAATTACAAATTGCCAAGAACTATCAGGAAGTCCATAGCCCAAATCTGGATGCTTGGCACGGTGCCTAGCCCACAGTAGATGCTCAACCAATGGTTTAATTTTAAAAGGGCAGAAGGAATCTTTGGGGATCTATCCTCTGTCCCCTGGTGACAAGGCCTGGCCAGATTCCTGCAGCCAGTCAGGGCGGTACAACCGACCTAAGCCTGGCCTGGGGTCGGTGGGCACTAGGCGGGCGCCATCCCTGGCCGGGGCGGAGGGGGCGCTGCTGCGGGAGGCCTGCGCAAGGTGGCAGCGGGCGGGGTGGAGCGGAGCTGCAGCTGTGAGGCCGCCCTCAGCGAACGCGCGCTGTGCGCGCCGCCGCCTCCACTCCGCTGCTTGGTGCGGTCCCCGTGTGGCCCGGGCGGCCCGGGGGCGCGGAGCCAAGGCAGCGGCCGGCTGCATGAAGGACTGCGAGTACCAGCAGATCAGCCCCGGGGCCGCCCCGCCGCCCGCCTCCCCCGGGGCGCATCGCCCCGGCCCTGCCGCGCCCCCCGGACCGGGCCCTGGACCCCCGCCGGCCGTCGCCCCCGCCCCGGCGCGCTGGAGCAGCAGCGGCAGTGGGAGTCTTGGCCGCCGCCCTCGGCGCAAGTGGGAGGTGTTCCCAGGCCGCAACCGCTTCTACTGCGGCGGTCGCCTCATGCTGGCCGGCCACGGCGGAGTCTTTGCGCTCACATTGCTGCTCATCCTCACCACCACCATCCTCTTCTTCGTCTTCGAGTGAGTTTGGCAGCGCCCTGGGCCCCGCCCCTCTGCAGGCCCCATCTTTGAGTGGCCCCATCACCTCCTGCTTTTCACCCGGTCCTGCTTTCCCCCGCATTTGGCTGACTTTACATCTTTCCCTGTCCTCCGCCTGGCACCTCATCTTCTGCCATGTTCTCCATCCTCCCTTGGAGCTCCATCCTTGCTGGCCCTGTCAGCCACCTGCCCCACCCCTGCCTCTCTTAGCATCTGCCCTTAGGCCTTTCTTGGGCCCCTCCACCTCTCCCAACCCCCCACCCTCTCTAGCCCTGCCCTGGCACTCCCACCCTTCCTTGCCCTTCCTTGGCACCCTGCCTTAGCTTGCACCTGCCTGGAACATTGCTGTCCCATGGCCCTCGACTCACTGTCCTCAGTACCCTATCTGGATCTGCCCCCCAGGCCTCCTGGCAACTCTTCCTCACCTGCCCCTCAGACCATCTCTTGCCCATCCCCAAATTTCTGTTTTTTCGTTTCATTATATCCATTCCAGGCAGCTTTGAAATTTCTGTCCTTTGGCTATATACACCCTCCTTCATCCCCCATAAATTTCCTAACCATCCTCTTCCAGGGGACCCCACCCACTGTCATCCTTCTACTCTCAGCCTGCCTTCCCCTCAGTATTCCTCACCTAAGGCATCTTCTCCCCAGCATCCCTGGGCCTCTCAGGCCTCCCCTTTCCCTCTATATTAGTTGCCTCAGTTTCTCCAGAGCTTCCTGCCCTTGCTTAAGCCCCCATGGTCCCCCAAAACATCTCCCAGGCCTCTATCTCCACCTCCTGACCTCCTGGCTTTTTTTTTTTTCCTTTCTCAATTTTTGAGCATCCTTCTAGCATGTCCACTTCAGGAACAACTGCAGTGCCTCATTTTTTTTCAACAGAGTCCAGGGGCATTCATGTGACAGGTCGGTCACATTTGTCCTCACAGATTTCTGACCTCTTCATCTACCCAAGGACCCAAGACTGGTCAATTTGGGATGCAGTAGCTCCATTTTATGGATGGGAAGGTGGATTTATTACTTATTACACATGAGGAGGCTTCAAAATGTTCATGGGAAAATTTCATTCTCTTGTAATTCTGTTTTCCATGGACTTTAAAAATCCCCCCTCATATTTATAGTAGAAGCTTTCCACCCCATTCTCTCTCGCTGAGCCACCTACAATATGATTTCTTGTATGCACATTCACACAGACACACGAGCACCTCCTCCCCACATGCTGCATGAACCCCATCTTACCCTCCCTAGTTCTTCCATCCTTTGTGGTCATCAGCCTTAATTATGCAACATGGTCTAGAATTCTATCTTGGGAGCAAACAGACCTAGTTCAAATCCTAGCTCCACCCCTTACTAACAGTGTGAACTTTGTTAATGGAGTCCTTTTACTTTTTACATTTTCAGTTTCCTAACTGTAGATTGGGGTTTATTAGAGGACCCACCTCTAAAGGCTATCTTGAAGGTAGCATGAGGTAATGCACGTAAAGCTCTCAGTCCAGTAAGTAACAAGCACTTAGTGCTAGCACTGTTATTACTGTTTGTTTGACTAAAAGAACAAGTCCCAAGGGCATGCAGTAGAAGTAAGGCTGCCACAAATACATCAGCCCCCAGGTGCTCTCTGTCAGATCTGTTGCCTCTACCTCGGGTTTCCCCTGGAGACATGGTGAGGACTTCCTCTGAATTAGCTTCTCCCTTTTGCTAGACACTGCCCTTCCTTTCTGAGTCAGGGTAGATGAAGAGTTCAGGGATGATTTGACAAACAGAAGCTTTAAGGAACTCCCAGCCCCCAGCTTGGTCCCTGGGCTGAGTTTCAGATCCACCTTACCCAGCCACCAATGTGGGAGCTTAGAAGTGCCATATCCAATATCCCCATGGCGGAGGCAGGAGGAAGCGGTACTTGCTGTGGTTGGAACCTGTGATCCTGCATTGTGGGATTGGGTCAGTTCAGGAGCAGGACCTTCCAGGCAGAGGAGGTATCTTCACAGGTGACTGATTCATTCCTGGACAGGGAGACAGCAAGACTTCTGGGTTCTGGGAGAGCTATAAATCATCCTCATCATTTGGGGTATGGGCTTAGTAGAAAGGTTTGGATTGGGGCCAAGAGTGCTCACTTGGACCTGAAGTAGACAAAACCTCAGCGGGACCTCGTATGGTGGGAACACTGTTGGTGAGGACAGGGAGGCTGAGTAGGCACTCACACTCCTCCACTGCTCTGGAAGAAGCCATTCTTGTCATGATGGTTTTGCTTCACTGTTCCAGGGCCTATCGCATAGAGCTCCCAGTTTCTGCCCTACTTCCCAGCCTCACACAACAGCCAGAGAGTTCCTTTAATTCTAAGTCAGATCCAAATGTGCTTTAACTTCCCATTTCCCCCGTCCTCATTAAGAGCTAAAGCCCTGATGATGGATTCCCTCCTACCTCTCCCTCTTCACCCCAATCTTCTTCCACTCACCCCTGCCCATTCCCTGCAATCACACTGGCCTCCTTATATACGCCTACCTCAGGGCCTTTGCACTGTTTGGAATGTCCCACCCCAGGTGGCTCTATGAAATAGAACACCACTCCCATTTCTCCTATCTCTTCTGCCCTGCTTTATTATGCTCCAGAGTACTTGCCACCATCTCCTATCCTATATGCATACGGGTTTGTTTCTTGCCTGTTTTTCTCCACTGCTATATCTTCAGTGCCTAGAATAGTGCCTGGTCTGTAGTAGGTGCTCAATACAATATTTGTGAATGAATGAATGGACAAGAGCGTATGATAGGAGCCCAGAAACCACAGTCTTGTCACTGGCTGGGTGACCTTGGATCTGGTTGTGACACTCAGAGTCCCTCCCTCTCTGGATAATCAGGACATAGGACTCTCTAGTTCCCTAGGCTTCTATTAGTCCCATAGTCCCAGTCTCCTCTGTCTTTCCTGGAGTCTGGTTGTATATGAGCTGGTTGAGGCCACACTGGCTGCTGTGTTTGAGGGTCAGGCCCCAGGAATACTGAGATGTGTGGAGCAGAGCATGGCTCGCTTGGAAACCTTGGCCTTGGCAGTCTCTGTTCCTCAGGGAAGATATCTCAGGAGGTCAGAGCCTCTGTCAATGGAAGCTTCAGAAACAGTGCCTAGGTGCCCATGGGGCCCTCCACTGGGTGTGATTGGTTTACTCCCTGCTGCTGTGCTAGTCTCTAACTCCAAACACTGAAACCTGAGGCTCCTGGACCCATGACTGACTCTGACTTCCCAGGATGGTGCCATCCTGGCTCTGGGAAGGAAGGTGGCATGGGCTAGAGGTTATCAACATGGTCCAGAAGTCAAACCTGGCAGGAATTCCCACTTCAGCACTCCTAAGCTAAGTGACCTGGGGCAAGTTTCTTAAGCTCTTTGAGCTTCAGTTTCCTCAACCTGTAAAGTGAGAAGTATATTTCCGAGGCTTGTGGTGGAGATTTGATGAGAAAGTACATAGAAAGTATTCAGCATAGTATCTGGCACATAATAGTACTTCAGATATTATTAATAATGATTTATTAACTAGGGAATTAGGGTAGTTGGTAGCTATTTTTCTGTCCCTTGGCACCAGGAACAAACTGTATTCATTTATTCAACAATTATTTATTGGGCGTCTTCTTGGTGTCGGGTACTGTGTAGTATGCTGGGAATATAATCGTGAACAGGAATGTCTAGTCTGTACCCTCAGAGGAGCATTAGTTCTAGTGGGGAGACGTATCTGACACATAAACAGGCAAGTTAGTTATTGAAATTTCTAATAAATGCTCTGCAGGAAGAAAAGGCAAGGTGGTAGGAAATTGTGGAAAGGCCTACTTTGTAGAGTTGTTAAAGAAGGCCATGCTCAGGAGGGAAGAGTATTTTGTAGATAAGGAACCACAAGTGCAAAGGTCCTGAGGTAGGAAAGAACTTGACTTATTCCAGGAGCTGCCAGTGTGATGGGAGCAGCAGGGCAGGGGGAGAGCCTTTGTTAGGGTCCAGGTTATGCTTGGCTTAGAAGGCCATGGTGGGAAATGTGAATTTTATTCCAAATGTAATGAGAAGCCGTGGAATGGTAGTAAGCAGAAAAATGGCATGATCTGATGGACACTTTCAGAAGACAGCTTTGGCTTCTGGATGGACAGTGGAGTGGCAACAGAGACAAGTGTTATGAAGAGACCTGAGAGATTCACTCCATCACCAAAGCCATGTCTCTACCAGTGGCCAAGACTTCTAGAATGGCCCAGCCCTAAGATATGAAGAAGGCTTATGGGGCCCTGTGGTGGGCAGTCTACAAGGTAGAAGAGGAGGCATAGTCCATAGTCCAGCAGACATGGGCTGTTCTCCCAGCCAACTAGGGCCAGAGAGCCTAACAGAACCGCCTTGGGGACTATCCATCCTTAGGTGACAGTGGCTGTGACTGAATCATGCTGATTTGCCCTCCTCCCTTCACCTAAGTGATCCTTACTCATTCTTCAGGTTTCAATATAGGTGATATCTCCTTCAGGGAACCTTTCCTGGCTGCCCATTGCCTCCCCTCTCCAATTATAGCATAATTGACTGGTCTACAATATGCTTCCCTACCCTACTCCCCAGCCCCTCACCAGTTACAGCAGACATCCATCACCTTGCATGGCAGTGCCTTTTACTTCTCTATTTTTTCCACTAGACCATATGCCACTCTAGGAAGGGACTCTGATTCGCTGTCATTATTCCCACTGCTTATTGCATGTGTTGCCTAACATATAAAATTTGTGTAGAAATATTTGTGGAGTGAATGGATGCATGCACGATGGTTTATCTCAAGTGCTAGTCCAATTAGTCGGTAGAGGCTGCCTGATACTCTTGTGTTGAGAAGGATTCTGAAGTGGCAGCTAAGTGTGTAGGAGGTTAAGAGTGCTGAGATATATTAGTCACATCTGTTAAGGACTCAGGAGAAAAGTGCATGGATCAATTAGTGATGTCTGTTTGTAGGGGGCGTGGCAGCACTCACCCTGGGAAGAGACTCTAATCAAGAATGTGGTGGTGATTGCTGGGAGGACACTGGTCTAGTGCTGGAGCCCTGTGCCCCATTGAACCCATGGGTATCTGCTGATCTGTCTCTCCCTCTCTTATTCTAGTTGTCCTTTCCTGGCCAGCCAACTGACCCTCGCCATCCCCATCATTGCCGCCATCCTCTTCTTCTTCGTCATGAGCTGCCTGCTGCAGACAAGTTTCACTGACCCTGGGATCCTGCCCCGGGCCACTGTCTGTGAGGCAGCTGCCCTGGAGAAACAGATCGGTGAGGCTCCCTACTTCCAGCTGAAGTTTCATCTCCCTGACTAGGAGGAGACCTGGTTTTCTCTTCCCAGCTGTGTTAGGAACTAGGGACACAGCAGTGGGCAAGACAGGCTGCAGCTGCCTTGGAGTAGAAGGAGACAGATGTGATACAAGTGAGCCAATAAAGAAACAAGAAATATTAGCAAACAAAAACCATGATGACAGCAACCAAGTGCTGAGTGTATTGTCAAGCACTGGTTTATATACATGGTCTCATTTGTTGTTGGCTAGGTGCTATCAAGTTGATTTCAACTCACAGAAATCATATATGACAGAGTAGAACTGTCCTATAGGGTTTTCTTGGCTGTACTCTTTATAGGAGCCAATTACCACATCTGTCTCCTGTGGAGCCATTTAGTTCAAATTAGCTGAGCACTTACACACGGCACCATCAGGGCTCCTGATGACCTCATTTAATTCCCCAATAATCCTATGTGGTAGGTACTATTATTCTCATTTTACAGGGAGATTGAGGAGATAGTCCAAGCACACAGTGAATGGTAGAGCTGGGATGAGACCCCCGTCAGTCTGACCAGAGCACTTGCTCTTAAACACTTCACTGTACGCTCATCATTTCATTCATCAAACATGTCTTGATCCCCCTACTATATTCCAGACACTTTTCTAGGCCTCTAGGAAGAAGGCACACTTGATATGAGTTGGGAATGATGCAGTAGGACAGGTACAAGAGGGCTTCAAAAAGTTTGTGGAAAAATACCATTATCTTTTCGTTCCATTTTTCCATGAGCTTTTGCAGCCCTCTCATAGTATGAGAATCAGGTGCAGAGTGCTTAAGGGAGAGGGCACAGTAACAATAAATACCCCAAGTGGAGGATAGGCTTGAGTGTGTTTGAGATATGGCAGGAAAGCCAGAATGGTCTCCAGGTGACCCCTAGTTCCTCTCAGACTGTTGTGTGGATTCCCCTGGGTGGTGGGGCACTGTCGCTGACTTAGCTGACTCCACCCCAGCTCCTTCCTGCTAAGAAGTGATACGGGTATTTGCACACCTTGGGGGTTTCCGGCCTGTGGTTTGCTCTTTCCCCTAACAGTGTAGCTTTCAGACAGGCTTTTAAACACCCAGCTGCCTAAAGGGATCCAGTGGCCTGGAAATGTCAGAGCCCTGCTGCATCCTCACAGGAAATCATCTCGATAATTTCTCCGGAGCTTGGGCAGGAGGAGAGAGGATGTACTCTCCAACTCCATCTGCTCTTTGTCTCATTCCTCTGCCCAGGCCTGTCCTCTGCCACACTCTCAGTTGTATCTTCCTGTCTCCTACAGCCAGCTTCCTTCCCCTTGTACCTCTGGACCTCTTGGTCTCCTGGATTCTGCCCCTTGAAAATCCCACAGTCTGACCTGGGCAGATCTGCTGGGGAGCTGGGAAGCCATTGGGTCAGAGCTAATCATGAGGCAGGATTATTGTCCAGCTCAGCCCAGCTGAAGCCTGCCTGCCTGGGTTCCTTTGGCTTCTTGTGAGATGTTTGGGTACTAACAACAACAGCAGTATTCCCATGTTTGGGGGAGTTTGACTGAGCCCTGAGTGCTTCCCCCTTTTACCCTACAGATCTTCACAACAATTTAGAGTAAGTCTGTTAGCCTGTTATACTGATGAAGAAGATGAGGCAGGCCATCTCAAGGCCAGGGAGCACAGGAGCAGACACAAAACGTGTGTCTCTCAAGCCCCTTGTTTTCTCCTGAGATGGCAGCAGGGACACATCCGTAATCTGTATGTGACCCTGCCTTCTTCATCCTTACATCTGTACTTTAGTGACCCTTTCTGTGGGAGCCTCAGGTCTTCCGTGATCACGTGTTCCCAGAGCACACTGTGCTGGGTGGCACCTGCCATGACGTGGGCAGTCCTGCTACACTGAGAGGACATGGGCTGTGCTGCTTACTCACCTTGTCTGCTGTGGGACTGGGAAAGGACGAATGAATAATTAAAGAACGAGCCCTTTTGAAGCCCCTCTTTGCTCTCCTGAGGTGATTATTTTGAAAGAACTTCTCCTAGTTAGCTATTGTGGATTTGTTCATCGTTGTGTTCATTCACTTATACTGATTTCTGACGGTAAGGGTTGCTGTTGTTCTTAAGTGCCGTCGAGTCAGCTGCAACTCAGCGCTACCCTGTATAGGGTTTCCGAGGAGTGACTGGTGAATTTGAACTGTCGACCTTGCAGTCCAGTGCATTATCCTGCAGTGCCACACCAGGACTCTGACAGCAAGGGTTGTTGTTGTTGTTAAGTGCCGTTGAGTCGGTTCCGACCCATAGCGAACTTGTTTAGGGTTTCCGAGGAGCAGCTGGTGAGCTTGAACTGCCAACCTTTCCGTTCAAATGGCTTTGCAGTCTGGCGCATTAACCCCCAGTGCCACACCAGGACTCTGACAGCAAGGATAGGAGGGCACAAAAATGGCCCTGTGAACACTCCCTTTGGTGGTTTCCAGTCCAGTTCAGCCCAAGATGGAAGGCCTCACTGGCTTCTGAATAGGATTGTGGGAGTCTGAAGGACTTGTAGAGGTGTCATGGAGAGGCAGTATTGGAGCCTTAAAGGCTGGGTGGAATTCAGACACGCAGGATGGTGTGAAGGGGCCCCTCTAGGCAGATGGAACATAGGGAAGACAAGTCAGAAGCGGAAAGGAGAAGGAAAAGGCATAACCACTGAAGTGTACGTCAGAGAACTGAGGATGGAATGGAGCCAGACTTGTAGGGCTCTGAGTGCTAAGACCTATGTATGACCTTCCCTTTAGAATAAATGCTTAGCCTAAAACAGTGGCATCTTTGGGGGCTTTTGGTTCTCAAACTTAAGCAGAAACCGAATTTTGGAGTGTTCCCAGGAAGCGTCTAACCAGAGTGAACTATATCTTCTGGAAAGGACTGTCCCTGAGCTGTTTTGACAAGTTTAGGGGTCAGCTCTGAGATGGGTGGTGTTGCTTAAACATGTCGTGGACTCCTGCAGACGTGTGGGTGTCTCACAGTTGGCCTCAGAGGCCAACTCCTCCAGTCTAGCAGGGTTCTGACCCAGGGCCCCTACCCTGCAAGGACTGTGTGAGGTAGGTGACTAGACCCAGTTTGCCCAAGATTGTCCCAGTTTTAACACTGAAAGTCCCGCTTCCCAGGAAATCCCTCCACTCCAGGCAGATTGGGGTGGTTGGTCACCTTGTTTGTGATCCTCTGCTGTGGAGCACCCTGTAGATCAGGCATTCTGGGAAGTTGGGGGAAAAATAGGAGTTGAGAACATTGCCTTTTAGGAGCATTCAGTCTGATGGGAGACATGTAAATATAAGTGATGGTTGCTCATCTAGACACAGTTCATAGGACAGATACAAAAGTTGCTTGACCCCTCTGCTGTCACACAACAGGGTCACTAACCCCTCCCCCAGCACAGCCCTCTACTTTACAGGTCAGATTGCAGAAAAGCCATTCCAGGATGACCCCCTTAGATCCTTGTCCTCCTTAAGTGCATTGCCTGGGGCAGACTTAGGCTCATTTCCACCGGAATCAGCTCAGGGATCTACTAGTTAGTCCCTCCACCCTGGTCTCCCCTTCTGTCAAAATTGTCACTCTAAGACCCTGGCCCTCCATGGCTCAGAGTTTGGGCAACACTCTAGTGCCTTCAGCATTGTTTCTTGAATATCAGTCATTAAATATATTTTGTGGAAAGAATAATTTTGTATCACCCTTGTAAGTAGAAAGCCAGAATCACTTGTTCTGAATAGAAGATAATCATAAAAATGAAAATATAACAATGTTACTCAATTCTTGGTAGTTACAGTTGCCTGTGAAAAGTAGGCACTTAGAGCTGATACATTGCGCAAGTGTGTTATTAACAATGGAGACTTTCTCTTGAGTTGAGTCAGAAGACTGAAGGAGACTTTTCACCAGTGATTCAGTGTTGCTTAATGTCATAACCAGGAAGCAACCTCCCACCTTCCATATGCCCGCCCACAGATGGTAGAACTTGCTCAGACCCTTTTGCCTGCCAGGTGGTGAGACTTTAGGCAATTGGCCTCCAGCTATACCTCAAGTCCTATCCCCAGGGCACACTTTGTGCAAGATTGCTTCCATTCCATGCTGTTCCCTTCTGGTGAGCCGGGCTTCTCTTTCTGATCCAGTTTAATTGCAACTGCTGCTTTTTCAGCTGTCCTCAACTCTGCTCCCTTGCCCCTAGCCCTACGTAACATCAAGTTGATTCTGATTCATGGAGACCCAAGTGTGTCAGAGTAGAACTGTACTCCATAGGGTTTTCAGTGACTACTTTTTTGGAAGTAGGTTGCCAGGCCTTTCTTCTGAAGTACCTTTTTCTGTCTGAACTCAAACCTCAAACCTCCAAGCTTTTGATTAGCAGCCAAGTGTATTAACTGTTTGCACCACCTAGGATTCCCCTATCCCGTGTATCTACACCCACACCCAATATTCTCAAGATATGGTACATCTACATCAATAATACTATTATGTGGCTAGCTATAGGCTAGACCCTCACATTATTATTATTACCTATTTTAGAAGTAGGAATCCTGGTTGGCATTATAGGATAGGTTCAAACCTACCAGCTGCTCCTTGGAAACCCTATAAGTCAGAACTGACTTGACAACACTTAACAACAACAATTTTAGAAATAAGGAAGCAGACTCAGAGAGGTTGAGTTGCTTCCTCAAAGTTACAAAGCTAACAAGTGGCCAAGCCAGGTTTTGAAATCAGACCAGGCTGTCCTGAGTCACCACATGGTGTTGACTCAGGGCGTGTGCCAATGACTCTGTAATTATCCACTTCTGCTCTGACGTTGTCCGCTAGCTGAGCTCATCCTAGACCCCCGGGTCTATCACTGAACACTGGGGACACTGTAAACCTCTGGAATTAGTGGAATAGTCAGATGCAGGTTTCCAGTGACCCTGTGCTCACAGCCTGGACACCATGGCTGATCTTGAGCTAGGCCTGTAGCCTCATCACCAAGCCCAAGAGCCCATGGGGAT